ACCCTCCGCTCAGCCGCACAGAGGAGGCTGCAACCCCCTTACCTGATGTATCCCACCTGAGGCCGGTGCTGCAGGAACCAGCGGTAAGAGGTCTTGTCCTTCCAGCCCGAGTTGCGAGGGTCTTTCCACAGCAGCTTGACCTGGTCCGTGGTGTCCCCGGTGTGCCAGAGGGAATTGCGGAGGTACTCTCCCGGGCCTGTCTTGGATTTCACCGCCTAACGCAGAGGAGAGACCGGTCAGCCGGGCGGGTGGAGGGCGGACGGACCCTGCTCTACCTGCCCCAGCAGCGGAGCCGAGAAGGCAGCAAAAATCCCCCAGAGAATCTTTTTCCAATGGCTTCTTTACCTTTAACTGAATTCCGGGTTCTGCTACTGCTCGGAAGGGGTTGGCCTGCCAGTAGGTCTGCTCCATCTGCTTCCACATGACCACGTAAAAGCTGGAACTGTCCTGGTAGCCAAATATGAAGCCAGCGTAATCGTCATCCGTGGCAGTGTTGACATGGAATGTGCCCTCGAAATCCACTCCGTTGAATGCCGTGTAACCTGTCATCAGGAGGAAAACAATTATTTCAGGGCAAAACGTAGATCCGTTTCTTTCTGGGTTCACGTGAGGTAGGTGGATTTTGCTAAGCCAGATCTGAAGACTCTGCCTGCCACAGAAAGTGTTTTCTCAGGAGGCAGATGGAATCGTTAATTAGTGTCTCAGATACTGGCAAAAGCTGCACCAGAATCATGGAATGGTTTGGGTGGGAAGGACCTTAAAGCCCCCCCGGTCCCACCCCCTGCCATGGGCAGGGACCCCTTCCATAGCCCAGGTTGCTCCAAGCCTCATCCAGCCTGGCCTTGGACACTCCCAGGGATGGGGCATCCACAGCTTCTCGTTAAGTGCTTAATGAGCGCTACTTTTCCAACGGGCCAAAAGCAAATGCCTCACCTACAGCCAGGCCAGGATCGCTGTTCATGGTCTGCACGATCTCCATGCCCTGGGAAGGACGAACGTTGACTCGTTAGTACGGTCCCAAACATGCGAACGGCACTCTCGTCGAGCCGTCGCCTACCTGGTTGAGGACAATCCAGTTGGGGTCGATCTGTGCGTCACCTTCAGGGTCCAGGACAACCGTCTGGAAGGCCCTGAAGTCGGTGAGCGTCACTTCTGCGTTCTCGGGGCACACGTCGATCCTGTCGATCACCATGTCTCTGTCGAAGTCGTCTTCGCAAAGGTTTCCCACTCCGTCACCTGAGCAGGGTGGAAGGAAAGGAAGAGCAGGGTCTCACTAACCTCCCCTGCCGCGTGCACCCGGGTGTTGCTCGGCCGGCTTTGGGCTAGCAGAGGGGAAGGTAGCCGTGTCTGCGCGAGGCCGAGAGGCGCTCAGCGCTGGGACGCTCTGCCTTCACGGCCAGAGAAACCCCGAGGCTTCTGCTGCTTGCAGAGGTGCTGTGAACCCCAGACTCTGGCAGAGAACTTCCCCCAAATCTGACCCTGAGGGCGGGGTTCTCCGAGACCTGAAGATGACGTAGGACTGTCTCAAGTCGGTACTGAGGGGATCTTAGCTCCTGTCTCTCTCCAGAGGCCAAACTGATCCGCACTGGTCACCAGGAACGGGCGGCCCTCGGGCAGAGCTAACGCGCATCCGCTTCCCTCACCGTCCGAGTCTTCTTGGCCAGGGTTAGGGACAAGCCGACAGTTGTCGGGGCCCGGAGGTTTCTCATCTGGAATCCCATCGTCGTCGTCGTCGTCGTCGCATTCATCCCCCAGCCCGTCGTTGTCCGTGTCCACCTGGGAGCTGTTGGGCACTGTGGGGCAGTTGTCCCGGGAATCTTGGTGGCCGTCCCCATCGCTGGGGGAGGAAATCACAGGAAAAGGTTATCCACCGACCTGTGCTTTTAACGTAGGCATGCAGCCCTTTCCTGGGAGCTGGGATCCCCGACGGATCCTCAGCGGGAGCAGAGAGGTTGCCTTGGGAAGTCTTAAGCTCTTGGTTACACCAGTGGTGGAGCAGAAAGCAGCTACCGACGAGCAAGCCTGTCGGCAAGTTCCGCTAGCCCTCCACTGGCAAGGGGTTCCTGAGGTCTGAAGGAAATTCCTCTGTCTTTTTACGGGATAAGGCCAAGCCAGGTTGTGAGGGAGTCGCCCACACCTGCCTTTTTCTCCCTCCGTCCCCAAGATTCCACGCAGCCTACGTATCATTTTTGCAGGAAGCTCTCACCTGTCCTGGTTGGTGTCGCAGACATCTCCCACTAGGTCATGATCCGTATCTTTCTAGTAAAATAAACAGGAATAATTAAAACTTTCTGTAGACCACAAAGAGCATTAGGCAAGGAAGAGAGTGCCACGGCCGTTCTGGTCGAAACCAGAGCTGCCAGCAGTGGGAGGGTTCCTTCCAGGGTGTTTCCAGGCCGCCCTCACCTACTCTTCTCACCCCAGGACGCTTTATCTCGAGGGGCCGTACTTCGGGCATGGGGTGTTACCGGGGGGGCACACCTTGGGCAGGTGGTACGAGCCCCAGCTCGAGGAAGAAAAAGGAACCCGTGAGAGTGCATCACGTACCTGGTCTGGGTTACTGACTGTCGGGCAGCTGTCACACACGTCTCCTACTCCATCACCGTCGCCGTCTCTCTGGTCAGGGTTAGGGACCCGTTTACAGTTGTCCGTTGGGTTTCTGATCCCTGTGAAACGTGCAAAGTGGACCCATCAAGGCAAGAGGGCTACTCAGGTCTCTGCAGCAGGATCTCGCGGGTGTAAGAGATGGTAAAAATCATGTAATAAAGCAACAATTTCCGTCTCTGTATACCTTTTACACGCTTTTAATTTAAGCTACAGCAGCCATGGAAGAGATCAGCAGCAACTGATCTCAAAACACAGGGCAGACTGCATCCTGATGGATGTCTGGGCAGGTTATTGCCCAGGATCCGGAAGGGAAATGTCTTTAGCTGCATTCCTTAGGGAAAGCCAACGAACTGAAGAACATGGCTCCAGAGTGGCATCCTGTCTGTGCCAAGCGAGTGGCCAAGAGGATGAAGATGGAGCCGTCTGCGGTTCCCTAAACCACGACAGAGCCTTTTTCCTCTAAAACAGATGTCTAGGTAATTATAAGTCAAGGTTAATCTTGGTTGTTTGCCATGGAAGAATTAGACAGTGCCTTTTCACGGCCCGAGACAGGACAGGAACAATATAATTGGCAACCTGTATGACTTCGCTTCCCACTTCTCTGCATTTACCTACTACACCAGCAAATCCTGCCAGCAGGGAGCTGCTTGGCAGGATGGAGCCAGACCCAAACAGCACTGGATGCAGTGGAAATCCTCTGTAAATAAATACGTACGTCTCAGGCCAGCAGCAGTTGTGATTTCTGGCTTCTGACAGCAGGCTTTGTGCAAACACAGCATCATTAGCACATAGACTGTTCTTGAAGCAAGCCAGGGATTTTTCCCCCCAGAAGACAGCCCGGACACGTACTGCCTTCAGCCAGGAGCTGCTAACACCTTGGGTATTCCCATACTTCTTCACAAGTTTAAACTGCAGCACAAAGTAGTGTCCTTGTCTGGACTGAGACCAGTTTGCAGGGTACATGCTTCTTTCTTAAGTCTGACAGGGGTTTGACGTGACTGTGCGCACTGAGTGCTAACACCAATTGCAGTCATCCTCCTGAAAATTGATTGTTCAGCCCTGGAGGAGCTGAACTGTGAAGGATGCTGGCTTGACTGCTCATCACGAGAACCGAGCGGTGCTTCATCTCATCAGAAATGAGGGCTGCTCCTGGAGAGCTCAGGCCTCTGGAGGCTGGTACCTGCTGCGAGGCCTGCAGCTACGTGCTGAACAGCTTTCTGGGTCTTAGCTCAGGATGTCTGCACCTCGCTGAGGACGCCCTCCAGCTGCTCTTACCATCTCCATCCATGTCATCGTCACACTCGTCTCCCTTCCCGTCACCGTCGATGTCCCGTTGATCATTGTTCTTCACTTGGCGACAGTTGTCACAGGCGTCACCGAAGTTGTCCTTGTCCGCGTTGCGCTGGTCTGCGTTGCGCGTGTACACGCAGTTGTCCTGCGGGAGAGCGAGGGACCGGCTGAGGGGAGACGATTGGCACCGCAAAGACAGACAAACGCTCTGCGCTACGTGACCAGCTGCTCTGAGAAGCCCGGCAGCCGCGCTGGGTTTCCTCGAGTCAGGCCCGTCACTCCTGTTCAGGGAATACCAGTAGCACCTGGAAACATCTCCAACCAGTGTCTGACCAAGAGAGAGAGAGTCCCCAACTCCCAGGGGACCGTGACTTGTAAAGTCCCCTCAGTGCCGTGATATTCCCTCCTGTCTGCCCATTTTTAGTGTCTTCAGACCGTGCAGGTTAAAGGAAACACTGCGTGCTGCGACCTGCAGGGCCTCTAAATTCACATTAAAGACGTCGGAGGTTGCTTGGCGGGACCTCTGGGTACATTTAGGCATGGCAAGGCTTAAGCATTAGAATTCAAACCTCAGCGTTTAATATCCCGTCTCCGTCAGCATCATCGTCGCAAGCATCTCCAATTCCATCCCTGTCCGCATCCTCCTGGCCAGAGTTGGGGACGGTCACGCAGTTATCCTGAAAGGAAAGCAACAAAGGGTGGGTTAGCAAGCCGTGCGTGTTGTTTGCCCCGAGTTCTGGAGGTTGGGCAGGGTCTCGCCAGCCCCCAAGGCTTGCCCTGACATCAGCCTGGCCCAGCTGCGGTTTGGCATTCCTCTGATCCGCCGTTCCCAGCTGAATGTGGGACTGCTGCCCCTTACCTTGCGGCATTTTTTGTCAGAGCAGCGTTGCTTCTCGTCAGGGACTCCGTCGATGTCCGTATCCTTCCCACAGACGTAGCCGTTCCCTGCCCACCCCACGAGGCACTGCAAGACAGCAGATAAACAAACTGAGGCTGCCGCCGAGTTCCCTGATGGCCGTGTGCCTCCAAAATTGAAGGTTTAACACAAGATCCAGCCCAAAGCGTTGCAAATCCAGGTACACGATGCTCTACAGGAAAAACATTGTCTGGAAGAAACAGGCTGTAAAGAGCATTTTAAATAGCTCAGATGCACACTCTCTGCTCGTTCCCGAGGAAGGCAGATGCAGCAGCCAAACTTGGCTCCTGCAAGTTGCTGATCGGTGCTTCTCCCTGCGTTCCAGGCTCCGTGACTGACAAATGTGTCGTGCTTCGGGCCAAAAACCCCCGAACACGAGGGAGGTGAGGTGTCAGGGGCAGTCCAGAGAGCATGGAGAGGCGGCCGTAGCCCCAGTGCTGAAGGAGCAGTCTGTGCCGGGAAGGCACGCTCTCCAGGAGAGGGCAGTGGCAGACCCAGGAGAGCAAGCACAGTGCAAGGGAAACGGGAGCGAGCAGATCCCAGTTCCAGGGGGATTTGGACCTTACCACGCAGGAGAGGGACCCGTCGCGCTCCACGATGCACTGTGCTTTCTCATGGCACGGACTGATCTCCCCGTTGGGGCAGCGTCTCACTGTCTGGCTCTTGCAGCCGGTGACTTGATCCCCAACAAAGCCGGGTTTACAAGCCCCGCACTTGTAGGATCCCTGCGAGGAAAAGCGAGAGGGAATCAACCACGAGTCGTGGCAAACCTTGGCTGTAGCCTTCCTCGTCAGCTAGATCACCGCAGCGACCAGAGGCCCCGGAGCCTGGGAAGAGAGATCCCCATGAGGCTTCCCAGTAATAGTTACCCGTGTATTGATGCAGATGGAGTTTGGGACACAATTTCTGGCGGCGCCTGTCTCACATTCGTTGATGTCAGTGCAAATACACAATTTCTGGCGGCGCCTGTCTCGCATTCGTTGATGTCAGTGCAAACCTGCCCAGGAAGGACAAAACAGACATTATTTCACTCTTAAGCAGGTACCGCACCAGATTACAGAGTTAGGGATTCACTAGAGGCAGAAGCAAAGCCCCTGACACACTTCACTAGGACCCACAGCTCGAAGTTTTCCTTCGGACAAGCTTGAGCCAGACCCCAGCAATACTTCTGACCCCAGGTAAACTGTTCACCCTCTAGAGTCACCAGAGATTTTAGCCTGGCAAAACAGCTTAGCTCAGAGCTGAGCTGGCAGAGCATCCCCTTACTGTGAAAGGGTAGAAGAGAGTCAGTGGAGCAGGAAGGTCAAAGACTGCGTCCTGTGACCAGCCAGCAGCTCTCTAAATAACACAGGCCACGTGCCACTCCTGCTTTTGGCGACAGAGTCGTACAGACCACGCTAAGATAGGTGGGTTGGTTTTTTAAATCTGTCTGTGGCTGCCAGGGAAGGGGGGAGGGCAGTAGCTGCATCAGCTCTTCTGGTACTTGCACGAAGGATTCCCCGCGCTGGCTTCGCAGCCACAAAGGTGTCAGGGACATTCTGTGCAGCGTAAGTTCAGCAGAGGGGTGTGAGGATCAGAGAGCTGATGTGCCAGCATCCTCAGCAAGGCTCTCCTCTCACTGCATCCGTCTTCCCGCCAACGCAACACCATCATCTTGCATTTCCTTCCCATTTCTTGGAAGGCTCCAAGACCTTTGCATTACGATTATGGAGGGGAAATAGTTAATGGCTCAGAAGGAGACGTTTCTGGGTCTTACCTGTTTGTTGGCCCTGGCGTAAGCTAGCCCAACCCCTTCGACCATCTGCCCCGTGAAGCCGGGAGGGCACGGATCGCAGCGGAACCCGGGGGCGGTGTTAATGCACTGGACCTTCGGGAAGCAGGGGTTCGCGTTGCACTGCAAAGGAGAAGGAGGTTGGGCAGAACCGTGAGGCAGGCTTGCCCAAGGCCAGCTGTGAGGGCAGCGCTCAAGGCAGGCCTTGCTGGGTGAGGTCCAGCTATTGTGTTTGTAAGGAAGAAAACAAAAATGCTTAGGAGTTCCTGGCTTTCCTTGCAAGTGGAAAACGCAGCTTCCCCATCTCAGTTGTTCTCCCAAGTTCCTATATGTACAGACAAGTAAAACAAATCGACTTTCAGGACTAATTCTTCTTAGGTGACATCAATTGCCCAGGCAAAGCGCTGGCTTCACTTCACGCTTTCCTTCCTGGCAGTCTCTGAATCCAGAGAGCTGGATAATTTCTTACAATGGTTTTGAAAGACAAGAACAGTCGTTTGTTTACTGCTCTGGGAAGCAACTGTCTTTCCAAAGTTGCTATTAATGCTTGCTTTATTTTCTCCACAACATCATTATTTGTCCCGAGTTCTTAGGCTCTGTGCTGGCAGATGCATTAGGTGAAAACAGCGGTTCCTGCGTTTTGGTGACTAACAGATTATCAGTCTCCAAATCATCGAGCCTTTTGACCTCCGTAGGTTTTTAAGCTGAAACGCTCTAGGGGTGATACGGCTTTGCAAGCCCCTTAGAGCTGCGTGGTGGACTAATCAGCGAGCACAGGATTCTGTGGTTTGGGAACCAGAGAACTCAGGAGTCTTATGGACATGCAAAATTAATGGTTGAGTAAAGCCCCGACACACACGGAGTAAGCTTGATGGAACGCCACACTTTCTAATAAAAAATTTAACCTATCTGCCCAGCAAGGTTTGATTTAAAGGCAGAAGTAAAGCCACAGGAGTAGCGTGGTAGGATTTACTGCATGAAGGACTATTTGGGAAGCATTTGGTTCTGTTCCACACATCATAAATCTTATCTCTAACAACTCATCAGCCATTAGCTCTGAAGACTGTAAGACCAAACGGGAGCGTTCTGGTCTTCCAAACTCACCTTCCTTTGCGGCACAAACCAAAAGATTTATCTGGTTTGAGCCTGTGTATCTTTTAAAAAGAAATGCCTAGCTGGACCGGCTATAAAACCAACATGGGACAGAGCTTGAGGGAGGGTGAGATACAGACTGAGTTCCAGCGAAATGATGTCTCTGTTGAACTTCAGCTCCCGAGGGAATGGCAAGACTTCTCTTTATAACCACAAGGCAAACCTGCAACACCCCGAGAAGAGTCAGGCAGTTCTGTAACTTCCAGCCTGTCCCACTTGGTTTTTACCTCATTGATGTCCGTGCACTGGGACCCGTTGCCGGAATAACCCGGGGGACAGGGTCCGCAGCGGAAGCCAGTGCTGGTCTCAGTGCAGGCCACTCCAGGGAAGCAGGGGTTTGGGAGGCATCTGTTAAACTGTGTCACGGTGATGACGGGGCCCGTCACCTCAGTGGTGCGCATGCCTGGAGGACAAGAGGAACATTAGGAACAGCGCTGTCCCTGCCAGAGGCTCATCAGGAGATCCCGAGATCTCAGAAGGTACCGGCGTGCCTCGCACCCAGGACATTTCCCTGCATCCCTGCATGAGCACCTGAAGCTCTGTAAAAGGGGAAAAATGAAGCCAGAAGCAGCAGCTTGGCAGATTTGCAAGTCACAGCAGACAAAAAAATGAATAAGCCCCCCCCGAAGTCTTAGTTCACGGCCCACAGCTCTCATCGTACCGCTCTCCTTATTGGTGCAATGGCCTTGCTTTTGGAGTTCCGAGAGATCGGTGCTCTCCCTGGTCCCTCTACCAGTTGTTTCATGGACTCGGGCGCCTGCCTGAAGCAGGAGCCACACAGCACAGGCTTAAATCTGGGAAGCACTGTGGAAGGTCGTCGGCCACAACCTCCGCTGCAGAAGGCAGGCGTGTTAAACAGGTCAGCTTGGCCT